CTTTTTCAATAGGAAAACAGTCTTCCTTAGGAAGACTTTTTCAATAGGAAAACAGTCTTCCTTAGGAAGACTTTTTCAATAGGAAAACAGTCTTCCTTAGGAAGTCTTTTTCTTCCTTAGGAACCCTTTTCTATAAGAAAACAGTCTTCCTTAGGCAGACCTTTTCTATACGAAATCTATCTTCCTTAGGAAGATCTTTCCTATACGAAAACTGTCTTCCTTAGGAAGACCTTTTGTATAGGAAAACAGTCTTCCTTAGGAAGACCTTTTGTATAGGAAAACAGTCTTCCTTAGGAAGACCTTTTGTATAGGAAAACAGTCTTCCTTAGGAAGACCTTTTCATAAGAAAACTGTATTCCTTTTCATAGGAAAATGGTCTTCCTTAGGAAGACCTTTTCTATAGGAAAACAGTCTTCCTTAGGAAGACCTTTTCTATAGGAAAACAGTCTTCCTTAGGAAGACCTTTTCTATAGGAAAACAGGAAGACCTTTTCTATAGGAAAACAGTCTTCCTTAGCAAGACCTTTTCTATAGAAAAACAGTCTTTCTTGGGAAGACTTTTTCTATAGGAAAACAGTCTTTCTTGGGAAGACTTTTTCTAAAGGAAGATAATCGTCTTCCACATGAAGGCTATACCTATAAGAAAAGTATCTTCCATAGATAGTCCCACTTTTACATTTCCAATATTTTTAATAACAGAAGACACTGTGCAACACATATTTATTATAACATTTGTTCATGTGTTCACTGTAAAAGTGCGTGTACTTTTAAATATTTATTTTAAATCCAATATTTTCCAACAATTTCTTTTCATTTTACTACCAACACGTAAATATGTAAAAGTCAGTAGTAGTTTGGGTTTTGCCGTTATTATTTACCTTAAGAAAATAAAGTTATTTATCTTTTTTACCTAAATACACTCAACCTATTTACCAAACAATTTATGGATATTTTCCAATCAGGAGGCGTTAACATTCAATTTATTATTGGCTGCTCAATACAAATATTTATTTTAACAACAAACACACGCTATTTTTTAAAGCAACTACTGCTACTACTGCTGCTGCTACTACTACTAAACAACTATATTTTCAGTACCTACAACATACAACTAAGTTACTCATGACAGTAATACAAACAACAACAATCTAACTAAACTTCTGCCATTGCACTTGTCTTATGGATAGTGTTGTTGTTGTTGAATTTGTTTGTTATTGTTTGTTTATATAAAAGTGTTTTTCTTAAATGTCTTTCTTGATTTGTTTTTTTTTTTTTCACTTGGTCTGTATATATTGTTGTTGGTACGATTTTTGTCTTGTTCTTCCAGATAGTTGGGGTGTAGTTTGTTATTGTTTGTGTTTACTTTATTTAACTTTAGGTTTTTGTTTTTTTTGCTTTACTTTTCCTTTAAGATTTTTATTTTCTATGGTTTTTTTGTGCTGAATTTAAATTATTTTCCTTTTTTTTGTGTAATTTTTTTTGTATTGTTTAGTTTGTTGATGTTTGGCATAGGCATGATAGTAAAGTTAAACAATAAAAAAATAAACAATGTGTTATAGTTTCATCTTTTGTTTGATGTTTTTGTTATTGTTGTGATTTTTGTGGTTTACAATGATTTTTTTTTTGTTATTTAGCACGTGAATTTTAGTTGTCATTATTTCCCAGCAAGCTTTTTTATTGGTTATTAAGAGAACCTTCTTTCAAGACAATCAATTTAGAGAAATGTTCCATAAATTTTTCTTTTTATAGAAAATTTTCGATACATTTTCATTTTATATAAAATTCACTATAAATTCTCTTTTTAAAGAAAATTTACGATAAATATTCGATAAATTTTCTTTTTAAAGAAAATATTCTATAAATATTGTTTATATAGAAAATTTTCGATAAATTCTTTTTTTTATAGAAAATTTTCGATAAATTCTCTTTTTATGGAAATTTTTCGATAAATTATATTTTTATAGAAAATTTACGATAAATTCTCTTTTTATAGAACATTTTCAATAAATTCTTTTTTATAGAAAATTTTCGATAAATTCTCTATTTATAAAAAATTTTCGATAAATTCTCTTTTTATAAAAAATTTTCGATAAGTTCCCTTTTTATAGAAAATTTTCGATAAATTCTCTTTTTATAGAAAATTTTCGATAAATTCTCTTTTTATAGAAAATTTTCGATAATTTCGATATAGAAAATTTTCGATAAATTCTCTTTTTATAGAAAATTTACGATAAATTCTCTTTTTATAGAAAATTTTCAATAAATTTTCTTTTTATAGAAAATTTTCGATAAATTTTCTTTTTATAGAAAATTTTCGATAAATTTTCTTTTTATAGAAATTTTCGATAAATTTTCCATGAATTCTCTATTTATAAAAAATTTACGATAAATTCTTGTTTTATAGAATATTTTCGATAAATTCTCTTTTTATAGACAATTTTCGATTAATTCTCCTTTTATATAAAATTTTCGATAATTTTTTTTTATAGAAAATTTTCGATAAATTCTATTTTTATAGAAAACTGACGATGAATTCTTTTTTTATAGAAAATTTTCGATAAATTCTCTTTTTATAGAAAATTTTCGATAAATTCTCTTTTTATAGAAAATTTTCGATAAATTCTCTTTTTATAGAAAATTTTCGATAAATTCTCTCTTTATAGAAAATTTTCGATAAATTCTCTTTTTATAAAAATTTTCGATAAATTCTTTTTTTATAGAAAATTTTCGATAAATTCTTTTTCTATAGAAAATTTTCGATAAATTCTCTTTCTATAGAAAATTTTCGATAAGTTCTCTTTCTATAGAAAATTTTCGATAAATTCTCTTTCTACAGAAAATTTTCGATAAATTCTCTTTCTATAGAAAATTTTCGATAAATTCTCTTTCTATAGAAAATTTTTGATAAATTCTCTTTCTATAGAAACTTTTCGATAAATTCTCTTTTTATAGAAAATTGTCGATAAATTCTCTTTTTATAGAAAATTGTCGATAAATTCTCTTTTTATAGAAAATTGTCGATAAATTCTCTTTTTATAGAAAATTTTCGATAAGTTCTCTTTTTTATAGAAAATTTTCGATAAATTCTCTTTTTATAGAAAATTTTCGATAAATTCTCTTTTTATAGAAAATTTTCGATAAATTCTCTTTTTATAGAAAATTTTCAATAAATTCTCTTTTTATAGAAAATTTTCAATAAATTCTCTTTTTATAGAAAATTTTCAATAAATTTTCTTTTTATAGAAAATTTTCAATAAATTTTCTTTTTATAGAAAATTTTCAATAAATTTTCTTTTTATAGAATATTTTCAATAAATTTTCTTTTTATAGAATATTTTCAATAAATTTTATTTTTATAGAAAATTTTCAATAAATTTTCTTTTTATAGAAAATTTTCAATAAATTTTCTTTTTATAGAAAATTTTCGATAAATTCTCTTTTTATAGAAAATTTTCGATAAATTCTCTTTTTATAGAAAATTTTCGATAAATTCTCTTTTTATAGAAAATTTTCGATAAATTCTCTTTTTATAGAAAATTTTCGATAAATTCTCTTTTTATAGAAAATTTTCGATAAATTCTCTTTTTATAGAAAATTTTCGATAAATTCTCTTTTTATAGAAAATTTTCGATAAATTCTCTTTTTATAGAAAATTTTCGATAAATTCTCTTTTTATAGAAAATTTTCCATAAATTCTCTTTTTATAGAAAATTTTCGATAAATTCTCCTTTTATAGAAAATTTTCGATAAATTCTCCTTTTATAGAAAATTTTCGATAAATTCTCCTTTTAGAGAAAATTTTCGATAAATTCTCCTTTTATAGAAAATTTTCGATAAATTCTCTTTTTTTAGAAAATTTTCGATAAATTCTCTTTTTATAGAAAATTTTCGATAAATTCTCTTTTTATAGAAATTTTTCGATAAATTCTCTTTTTATATACAATTTTCGATAAATTCTCTTTTTATAGAAAATTTTCGATAAATTCTCTTTTTATAGAAAATTTTCGATAAATTCTCTTTTTATAGAAAATTTTCGATAAATTCTCTTTTTATAGAAAATTTTCGATAAATTCTCTTTTTATAGACAATTTTTGATAAATTTTCATTTTATAGAAAATTTTCTATAATTCTCTTATTCGATAAATTCTCTTTTTATAGAAAATTTTTGATAAATTTTCTTTTTATAGAAAATTTTCTATAAATTTTCATTTTATAGAAAATTTTCTATAATTCTCTTATTGAAAATTTTCGATAAATTTTCTTTTTATTAGAAAATTTTTTGATTTATAGGAAATATTTCTCTCTTTGTAAAAAATTTTCCATAAATTCTCTTTTTTTAGAAAATATTTGAAAAATTCTCTTTTTATCGATAAATACTCTATTTATAGAAAAATTTCAAAAAATTAAATATGATTGTCTCTTTTATAGAAATATTTCGCTAAATTTTCCTTTATTTATAGATAAACATTTTATAAATTGTCTATTCATACAAAATTTGCGTAGATTTATTATTATCAATCAAAATCTAAACCTGTTTGTTTAAGTAAATTTTTAACACTTTACTTTTAGTTAACCAATAAGATGATTCTTTAGTTGTTTTTTAAAACCACAAATCATACGCTTTTAGAATTTTTAAATAACACAGGTAGATACTTAAGTTAAGTGATTATAAAAAGTCAAAATTATAAAATAAAACTTCTCACAACTGTCACTTTCTTACATTAAACGTAAAATGCTGCTTGGCAACTTTTGCTTAAATGAATATTTTTTTATTTGAAAACTTTTTATAGCTTTTCTAGGAATTTTTTGTAAGAAATAGATAGTTAAAATTAAATAATAGTGGACGGTAGGTCACTAACATCAAGTTGTAGAAAAATTTATTTAATAAATTATTTAGAATTGTTTAACTAAATTTGAATATTTTTTAAAAATATGTATTTAACAAATTTTTTAATCAAATATATTTCACTTTCAATAATTCCTTGCTTATTCCAAACTTACCGGATAATACATTCCTTGTGGAGGAAGGAAAAAGGCCCCGGAACCCCACAGTTTGACGGCTTTTTTGCAAAAACTTTTTGTAAAAGGAAGATGAAAAGTTAAACGCTAGATTTTTCTCTGTTTATTTTATTGTTTAAAACACAACTTATGTTGTGTTTCAGTCACTATATTTGTAGTTAGTTTTTACAAATATTTTTTTATATTTTTAAAATTTTCCTTTTTTATTAAGAAAATTAAGTTTTTATTAAAATTATATAGAATTTTTGACTTAAAAGTAACACTTTTTACACTTATTTTAAGGATTATTTATAATTTTGGCACACGATTATTTTTAAATATATTATAATTTATATTTTTTTTAAGAATATTTTAAAGATGATAATCTGAAAAAGATAAAATATAAAATTTTAACATAAACGCAGAAATTTTTATTGTTGAAGCCAAAGAAAAATCGAAGAGAGATAACAAGCTGTGTGTATGTAAAATTTATGAAAATGTCAGGCGTAAAGAAAAAGTGGCTTTTCTACTAAAACGAATATATAAAAAACTTATCGAAAAATTCCTCTACATGAATATAAAAATATGTAAAAAGAGAATTTATCAAAAATTTTCTATAAAAAAGAATTTATCGAAAATGTTCTATAAAAAGAGAATTTATCGAAAATTTTCCATTAAAAGCGAATTTATCGAAAATTTTCTATAAAATGCGAATTTATCGAAGATTTTCTATAAAAAGAGAATTTATCGAAGATTTTCTATAAAAAGAGAATTTATCGAAGATTTTCTATAAAAAGAGAATTTATCGAAAATTTTCTATAAAAAGAGAATTTATAGAAAGTTTTCTATAAAAAAATAATATAAGAAATGAAAATGTCAGGCGTAAAGAAAAAGTGGCTTTTCTACTAAAACGAATATATAAAAAACTTATCGAAAAATTCCTCTACATGAATATAAAAATATGTAAAAAGAGAATTTATCAAAAATTTTCTATAAAAAAGAATTTATCGAAAATGTTCTATAAAAAGAGAATTTATCGAAAATTTTCCATTAAAAGCGAATTTATCGAAAATTTTCTATAAAATGCGAATTTATCGAAAATTTTCTATAAATAGAGAATTTATCGAAAATTTTCTATAAATAGAGAATTTATCGAAAATTCTCTATAAAAAGAGAATTATCGAAAATTCTCTATAAAAAGAGAATTTATCGAAAATTCTCTATAAAAAGAGAATTTATCGAAAATTCTCTATAAAAAGAGAATTTATCGAAAATTCTCTATAAAAAGAGAATTTATCGAAAATTCTCTATAAAAAGAGAACTTATCGAAAATTCTCTATAAAAAGAGAATTTATCGAAAATTCTCTATAAAAAGAGAATTTATCGAAAATTCTCTATAAAAAGAGAATTTATCAAAAATTCTCTATAAAAAGAGAATTTATCGAAAATTCTCTATAAAAAGAGAATTTATCGAAAATTCTCTATAAAAAGAGAATTTATCGAAAATTCTCTATAAAAAGAGAATTTATCGAAAATTCTCTATAAAAAGAGAATTTATCGAAAATTCTCTATAAAAAGAGAATTTATCGAAAATTCTCTATAAAAAGAGAATTTATCGAAAATTCTCTATAAAAAGAGAATTTATCGAAAATTCTCTATAAAAAGAGAATTTATCGAAAATTCTCTATAAAAAGAGAATTTATCGAAAATTGTCTATAAAACGAGAATTTATTGAAAATTGTCTATAAAAAAAGAATTTATCGAAAATTGTCTATAAAAAGAGATGTTATCGGAAATTTTCTATAAAAAGAGAATTTATCGAAAATTTCCTGTAAAAAGAGAATTTATCGAAAATTTCCTATAAAAAGATAAATTATCGTAAATTTTCTATAAAAAGAGAATTTTTCGTAAATTTTCTATAAAAAGAGAAATTATCGTAAATTTTCTATAAAAAGAGAATTTATCGTAAATTTTCTATATAAAGAGAATTTATCGATAATTTTCTATAAAAACTGAATTTATCGTAAATTTTCTAAAAAGAGAAATTATCGAAAATTTTCTATTAGAGAATTTATCAAAAATTTCCTATAAAAAGAGAATTTATCAAAAATTTCCTATAAAAAGAGAATTTATCGAAAATTTTCTATAAAAAAAATTTATCGAAAACTTTCTATAAATTAAAATTTTTATCGAAAATTTTCTATAAAAAGAGAATTTATCGAAAATTTCCTATATAAAGATAATTTATCGTAAATTTTCTATAAAAACAGAATTTATCGATAATTGTCTATAAAAAGAAAATTTATCAATAATTTTCTGTAAAAAGAAAATTTATCAATAATTTTCTGTAAAAAGAAAATTTATCAATAATTTTCTATAAAAATAAAATTTATTGAAAATTTTTTATAAAAAGAAAATTTATCGAAAATTTCCTATAAAAAGAGAATTTATCGAAAATTTCCTATAAAAAGAAAATTTATCGAACATTTTCTATAAAAAAAATTTTTCGAAAATTTTCTATGAATAGGAAATTTATCGAAAATTTTCGATAATTCTAAATCCTGGTTAGTTATCCCTACCAATGGCAACTTCTTTTGCATCCATTTCTACTTGTATCATATCTTTTATGTTTTCCTTTATCATTCGTAACTCAATCACATGTGTTCAATACAACAAGAACAAATCTTCAATTCAAATAAGAAGAATTTCTTTAAGATTTTGCACAAAAAATGTACGCAGCAGTAATTATAAAAAAACATGTGCATTTTTCTTGCTTTATTCACAAATCAGACAGATAAATAAAATTTATCTGTCTGATTTGTGAATCTAAAAATAACTTGATTTGCAATAAGAAAAACACAAAAAAGAACTCATCGTCATCAGAGTAAAAAACTCAGAAAAATGAACTCAATTGAAAGAAAAACAAACAAAAACACAAAAGAAATTTATTTACTTTCCCCCCCCACAGAGATTTTTTTGTTTTTATTTTCATCTTTCGAACTTTTTAGAGAAAATTTCGCCAATAAAAGTAGAAATATCAAATTGTAATAAAAATAGCAACGAAACATGATAAAGATGTTTAAAAAAGAAATATGCAAAAAACTAAAACAACAAATTTTCATAAGGGAGGATAATTGAGTAAGAATAAACTTTTAGTAAGGGATGCTGAGAAAGTAGAAGAAAAAACAACAAGAACAAAACAACTTTAAAATACACAACCACACAAAGAAAGTAGAATGTGTAGATGAAAGAGAAATTGGAAAAACATTTATAGGCTCGTGCAGATTTTGTTGCTGTTTATCTTTTTCTTAACACGCACCCAAAAACAAAACAAGGTGTTAAAAAAATGTGTAAATATTTTACCTTAAACAACAAAAAGGTCTCTACAAATTAATTTGTAAATTTCTAAATAGTTAAAAGAGACTAAAGTTTACTCGCCGATTGTGTGGGCGAGAAGATAAAGAAGGTGTGAAAAAGCGCTATAGTATTTTTTCAGCGATAATTCCAGAGACGTCATATTTTGATGTGATGCTGGTGGGTAAAGGTACTTTTGGATTTAATAGATTTGTTATAAGATATGTTTGTAATACTGATTTAGAAATTCTACCTTTTGTAATGATTCAAATGAATTTTAAGATATTTTTACACTTTGCTCTTTCTTTTATACTAAATTTGCTAAGAATTTTGCAACATTTTATATACATATAACTGTTTAGTCCTAGATACTAGGACCTAGAAAATATCGGAGAAGAAAATGTAAGAAAATTTTCACAAACCAGTGAAATAAACAAATTATGATTTTTAATATCAAAGCAATCAAGTTGAATGTAGGATGATGATTACATTTTCAATTACAATTACATTTGAAGTAACTGTAATTGAAGATTTGCCAATTACAATTACATACTTGTAATTTCCTTGTAATTTTTTCAATTTTCAATCACAATGTACATACTTTTAATCGTAATTTAATAAATTATAATTGAAATTAGTAATACGTAAAATTACAAGTAAATGCAACTGGTAGAACTAAATTACAATTCCAAGTAATTGTATGAATATTGGTAATTGTTAATTATACATTACAAGTAATTGTAATAGGGAAAATTTTAATTACAAAAAATTGTAATTTGTTATTGGTCAATTACAAGTAATTGTAGTTGACCATGTAATGAATTACTTTATGTAATCATTACCCCAAGCAGAAATGGTAAATGGAATTTTCAAATTGTACAAAACAACATTTAAAATTGTACTTTTTTGATTCCGATTGTACCAAATCAATCCGACTTCTTCAGTCAGTAAAATTACTTGTAATGTGTAATTGAGCAATAACCAATTACAAATACTTGTAATTGTAATTGAAGTTTTTCCAGTAACAATTACTTGTAATTGTCATTACTAATTTACAAATTACATGTAATTATAAGGAACAAAATTCACAATTACAAGTAATTGTATTTGGAAATTCTTCATTTGCAATAACAAGTAATTTTAATTGGCAAAACTTCAATTACCATTACAAGTAATTGTAATTGTCAAAACTTTAATTACAATCACAAATAATTGTAATTGGAAAAGCTTCAATTACAATTACTTCAAATGTAATTGTAATTGAAAATGTACTCATTACCACCTCCCAACCCTGGTCCTTATGCTAGTCAATCGACAAGACAGTCTATTGTCTATCTATGGGCTGTAGAACAGAGTCTATAAAGTAGACATTAGACTAGTCTTTGGTTAGACATTAGATTAGTGTATTGTCTAGTCTATAGGAGAGTCAATATACTAGTCCAAAAACTATTTCATAGACTCGTCCCTACTCTAGTTAGTTAATAAACAAGTCCATAGAAAAGCGATCGGTAAAAAATTAATCCTAAAAATTGTTCTTTTGCAAGAGCTCAGTCAGAGTTGCTCTCTGCGATCTCTAGTAATGTAAATTATTAAATTAAACATAAGCTTCAAACCCAGTTTTCAAGTTTTCATATAGTAAAATACATAGGGAATATACCTATATATGTACGTAATACTGTGAAAAAACTTTAATTTTGTATGTATATTTGAACCTATATTTGTTATTTGATAAAGAACATTTTCCACTTTATGGTCGTTGTGCCAGGACTTTAAGTAATTTTAATAAAATGTCAAAAACGAATAATCGAAGTCCTGTCAAAAAAAAAAAACAACATTTGTTAAAATCGGATAACTGGTTCCAAACTTATTCAGTCGTCATCATTTCTAATTTTTCACAAAAATACCTGACATGCCCTACTTTAGAGATCCGTGCAACTTAATAATAAGGGATCCAATAGCCATAGAAACCCCAATTAAGAGTAGGAAATATGTTTCGAGTTATATCTAAATCGAAAGTATTGAAAATTTAAAGTGTTCGAAATGTCTATGGAATTACCCTATATTTGATTTTTGGAACTATTTTGGAACCTTAAGTGCATTTTTGATTGACACTATATATTGAGAATTATTAGATATTAAAGGTTGAACCCACCAAAATCGCCTAATTTGTAATCGTTTATATCTTCAAAACTAATTGGCAAATTAAATAAAAATTTTTGATTTGAATAGCCTATAATCTCCTAATTTAATTCCAATAAATATGTAGATTTGTAATTATTAACTTGGTTTTGAAAAAAATGGTTTCAGAGCTTAGTCGGAGAAAACTTATTTTGTATGGATATGCCCGAGACTTTTGTCTATGCCAAATGCATGATGATCAATTTGAGGGAATACTTTTTTTTAGTACAAATCAAATTTTTTGTTCATTTCAATTCAATTTCTTTCAAAGACCTAGCAACAGGCTAGGTCTGGCCATAACAACGGGTTTGCAGTGTGAAATCATACAAATGGCAATATCCAATTTTCGAAGGATTCTCCTTCATAAATTTTACCATTTGTCTTAACACTTGTAAAAACAGGTTCTGTTTTTGATAATTTAAGGTCTTTTTATAATTTCTGTGCAAAATAAGTTTTCTTCGAATAAGTACTGAAACCACTGTTATCAAAACCAAATTGACTTTAACGCTTATTTAAAGACTTTTTCTGAAGAGGACCTTATATAGGGAGTAGGATAATTTATGGTCCGATCCTCAAAGCAAATTGGTAGAGAATTTTATCGCTACATTCGTATTTTTAAGCCACTAATGAGCATTATAGTAATTTTTTGTAGGGGACCTTATATAGGAGGTAGGATCAATAATGGACCGATCCTCATAATATATAGTAGAGATTTCGGCTCATATGAAACTTATTTATGTCGTGTTGCGTCGCTATACTCGAAATTTTAAAGCAGTTATAACCGTTTTCGGGGGTCCACTTGTATGTGGGCTATCCGAAACGTGCACCGATATTTTCCATTTTCAATACCAAAGAAACTTTATCAATAGTGAATATTTATACAAAATTTCAACTATCTAGCTCCTCCCGTGAGTTCCCTATCGTGATTTCAACAGACAGACGGACGGACAAGACTTGATCGTGGGTCTATGATTAATTTTTCTATGTGTTACAAACGGAATAACAAAAACAATATACCCCCATATTTTTGGAGGGAATAGTAAGTAAAAAAATCACCCTTCTTAATAAAGTGGCGTTCAAAAAGGTGCTTACAGTTCCAAAAATGGTTAAAATTAAATTGGATGGAGTTTCTAATATATTAGTTATATGTATGTAGATAGGTATTTGTAGAAAACGCAATTTCGAAATTTTTAATTTAGTGTTATTGGAGCCGATTATGGCCTTTGGCTAGGATTCTGTAATTGAATGAATAAATAAAATAAAAAATATCAAAAATAATATACAAAGACCTTGTAGGGCGTGAATAGATATAACGAATCGTGGAAAAAGTTCAGGCAAAAAACTCGATGAACTTTTATATAAATAGGTATGTATAATTTTTTGAAATAAACTAAATAAATATTTTCGCTTAAAACTTTTGCAATTTAGTTACAGAATATTAAAGAGAAATAGGTTCTTTACGGAATTTCAAATAAATAAATCAAGATAATACCTATTGGATATTTCAGATAATAGTATAAATCTATATCAAAATTATTTAAATAATTTTGATAAATATAATGAACAATCCCATTTTAGAATTGGCATTCGGTGCAGAAAGTTTTTTTAGACCAAATTGATTTAAAAAAGTTTTTAAGAAACGATATCTCAAAAATCTGATGTAATACAGAAATTCTGAGACCAGATTCGGATTAAGCGACACTTAAAGGCCCCTACCTTTCTTTAAAATAAAATTTCTTTTTTCCTATAGCAGGTTTCTAGTATTTTGAAATTTTATAAATAACTGACTACAGATTACCGGCTTTGCGGCAAAAAAGTACTTTATAGGTACATGTTAGACATTATGCCAAATCTGACAGCTATTACAAGCATCCCAGGCCGGGGGGAGTACAAAAACTACTACTACAACACTGTTTCATCAATGTTTTGTTGCGTATAGAAGAAATTGATGTTTTTTGTTGTAAAAAAAAGGATAGAAAATAATAATAAAAACAACAAAAAGTTTGCAAGGCAACGAAAATGAAATAAAAGAATAATATTAAAGGGTAAATAACAAAACACAAAAATATTTTGACAGAACAAAGAAAAAGCAGGAAAATTTTTTAAAAATGTTTTTTATATAAAAACAAAAAGATTAAAACAAAAATTTTATGGATGAAAACAAAATATATGGAGAAGAATATTAATGATTTGATGATGATGATGGTTTTTAATAAATCTGACAGCAATTTACAGACAGATGGACGGACACCAAACACAAAGCAGAAGAAATGAAACAAAAAACACTTTTTTTCAAACAGCAGACACACAAAAATAAAACCATAAAATTATAATAAAAATCACTAAAAGCGCCGGCTCTTCTTCGTGCCTTTTGAATGAAATGCAAAAAAAATATACAAGATGAAGAAGAATAAAAATCTATTTTTAACATTTTCACAAAATTTAGCTCAATTTTTTTGTTTCCTTTTGTCTGTAACAATTTATTTATTAAAACACAAAAAAGATATTTTGAAAATATTTCAGAACAATACTTGTAATTGAAACAATTTTTTGCATAAAATTTAATTAAATTTTCACAGCATCTTCGTCTTCTGTCTCCAAAATACTTTTGTTATCTCTCTTGGATTTCTTGGGCAAAATTAATTATATTATTTTTGTTGATAACTGTAAGCCACCAGCACTTACTTTTTATTTTCAATGATTTTTTATAAGATTTTCACTTAAAATTTAATCAAAATTCCACTTTAATTTGTGAGAAGAGGAAAAACTTTTTTTATAACTTTTGTTTCACTTAAAACTTTTTCAGATTCTTATTGGATTTTTAAGTAGTAAACAAATTTTTGCTTAGAATTTTTTTTCTTATTTAATTTTTCTAAAATTTCTTTAAATTTCACTTTAAATCTTTCAACATAAATAAACTTTTTAATTACATGCTTTTTTTTTCTTAAAAAAAAAAAGATTTTTATTTATTTGTATTTTTCTTTTTTTCTAAATTTATTTAATTTTCTACAACTTTTGTGCGTTCGATTTTAACTCACGGCCGTTTTGTATCAATTTGACAGCACTGCGACAAAATTACAACTGATTTTCTCTACAAAACCAATTTTTTGCTTTTGTCCACATTGTTTTTTTCATTTGAGTGAGTTTTTTCTTTCTCTATCCATTCCTTTTCATATACTCTTTCTTTTTTATGTTGTGCTTTTTTTTCTTACTCTTTTTATTGTTGTTATTTTCTATTTTGTTTTTATTTTGTTCATTCATTATTTTGTTCTATGTTTTTATTTATGTTTTTGTTTTCACTTTCGTTCGTTGCTTTTGAGTGAGTTTGTTGCTAGAAAAGAGTTTTTTTCTTTTAAAACTCTCTTGCTCTTTAAAAGTTTTTGCGCGCGCTCTCTTTGTTTTGATGCACGTTTTTCTCCCATTAGGAAAGTACTTTTTTCAGCAACTGTTAGTGTTAAAGGCGTGTAAAGCAAAAATGTCAGATTAGACATTTTGCATGTGCCAATATGGAGAGTAGCCGTATGTTTAAGTTTTAAAATTAAAGCGATTTTTTTTGTAAGAAAAACTCAAAAAAATCTTTGAGAAATTTCTTTATTTAATAACAAAATTTCAAAACTTTATTTATAAAAAAATTTTCTTTGTTTTTATAGAAAATTTTCGATAAGTTTTATTTTATAGAAAACTTTCAATAAATTTTCCATTTAGAGAAAAAAATTGGATAAATTTACTTTCTAGAGAAAATGTTTCATAAAATTTCTATATAGAAACAACTTTCGATAAATTTTATATTTACAGAAAATTTTTAACAAATTTTCTATTTAGAAAAAGCTTTCGATAAATTTACAATTAAGATAAACGTTCGATAAATCTCGTTTTTATAGAAAATTTCGAACAATTTACTATTTTGAGAAAATGTTTGATAAATTTTCTGTTTAGAGAAAATTTTCGATAAATATTCTTTTTTTTAGAAAATGTTCGATAAATTTTATTTTTCCATAGAAAAATTATCGATAAATTTTCTTTTTAGAGAAAATTTTCTTTAACCATAGAAATTTTTCGATAAATTTTCTATTTTTATTTTTTTTTCATAAACATTTTCGATAAATTATCTTTCGCTATAGAACATTTTCAATAAATTTTCTATTTCTATAGAAAAAATTTTATAAATTTACTTTCTAGAGAAATGAAATTTCTATATAGAGAAATTTGATAAATTTTATGTTTAGAGAAAATTTTTGATAAATTTACAATTAACATTAAACCAACGATTAATTTCGTTTATATAGAAAATTTCGAACAATATACTATTTTGAGAAAATGTTCGATAAATTTTCTATATAAAGAAATCTTCCGATAAATTATCTTTTTATAGAAAATTTTCGATAAGTTTTCATTTTCCATAGATAATTTTCGATAAATTTTCTTTTTCTTCAGAAAATTTTAGATAAATTTTCTTTATCTATAGAAAATTTTCGATAAATTTTCTTTTTCTATAGAAAATTTTAGATAAATTTTTTTTTCTATAGAAAATTTTAGATAAATTTTCTTTTTCTATAGAAAATTTTAGATAAATTTTCTTTTTCTATAGAAAATTTTAGATAAATTTTCTTTTTCTATAGAAAATTTTAGATAAATTTTCTTTTTCTATAGAAAATTTTAGATAAATTTTCTTTTTCTATAGAAAATTTTCGAAAAATTTTCTTTTTCTATAGGAAATTTTCGATAATTTTTCTTTTTCTATAGAAAATTTTCGATAAATTTTCTTTTTCTATAGAAAATTTTCCTTTTAAAGAAAATTTTTGATAAATTTTCCTTTTATAAAAAATTTTGATAAATTTTCCTTTTATAAAAAATGTTGATAAATTTTCCTTTTATAAAAAATGTTGATAAATAAAACGTCTTTTTATAGAAAATTTTCGATAAAACGTCTTTTAATAGAAAATTTTCGACAAAACGTCTTTATAGAAAATCTTCGATAAATCATCTTTTTATGGAAAATCTTCGATAAATCTTCTTTATATAGAAAATCTTCGATAAATCGCCTTTTTATAGAAAATCTTTGATAAATCGTCTTTTTATAGAAAATTTTCGATAAATCGTCTTTTTATGGAAAATTTTCGATAAATCGTCTTTTTTATAGAAAATTTTCGATAAATCGTCTTTTTTATAGAAAATTTTCGATAAATCGTCTTTTTTATAGAAAATTTTCGATAAATCGTCTTTTTTTAATAAAAAAATTTCGATAAATTTTCTTTCTATAGAAAAATTTCGATAAATTTTCTTTCTGTAGAAAAATTTCGATAAATTTTCTTTCTATAGAAAATTTTCAATAAATTTTCTTTTTATACAAATTTTTCAATAAATTTTCTTTTTATATAAAATTTACAGTAAATTTTCTTATTATAGAAATTTTTCAATAAATTTTCTTTATAAAGAAAATTTTCAATAATTTTTTTTGTAGAAAATTTTCAATAAATATTTTTCAAAAATTTTTTTCAAAAATTTTTTTCAAACGTTAATTTATATTTTAATGTAACCTATAAAAAATTTTAATATTCTAATGGTTTATCAGATACAATTTTTTTATTATTTAATTCATATGTGAGGTGCCTAGCCCCCTATGGAAAATCCGCCAATTTTTCAAATGTTTACATGAATGTCAAAGTTTTCCGTTCAAAATTTGAGGATTCTTGCTGTAAAAGTTTCTCAGTTCTACGCATTTTTGTATTCAATTCATATTCAATCCAAGCCCATCTAATGAAAGTCCGCCCATTTTCCAACCAATATTTACATGAATGTTCAAAATTTTAAGATTTTAGCTCTAGTAGTTTCCCAGATAAACGAATTTTTGTATTTAATTCTTATGTGATGTTCCACGCCTCCTATTGTTGATCCGCCCATATTTTGTTCTAAATCTCCATGTTTATACTAAAGTGGTTCTGACAATTGGGGGCCTAGCTGTTATATTTTCAAAAATATACTAATGTAAGATTGTCCGACCATTTCGTCCCCATATATTTATATGGATGTCGATGTTGTCCAAACAAAATCATTGTAATATCTAAAGAAAACTTTTAATTCAAAGTTTTGATATAATTGTTAATTTTTGTTTTAAATTAAAGCAATTTCCTTTAAAATAACTAACAATTAAAATAAAAATCACTCCTTTGCAAATTAAGTAGTTGACGAACTTTTGGTGAAAACCTTCAACTTTGTATATACGTACACACATAGGTCAAAAATATTTAAATAATTTCTTTTATTATTTAATAACATAACCAGACAAATAAACTATGAAATGGACAATACTCACTAAGAGGATTTGAAATTTGTTTTTGTATTTTATACAATTTTTACTGTAAGTATAAGAGGATTTATCAAGCAACTAATATTTGTTGTTGTAGGAAAATAAATATGCGGGAAAATAAACTCATCTAAAAACTATTACCTTTTGAGGCGCCCACACAAACACACACACACACATACAAAAGAGTAAAAACTACTTTTACAAAATAATAAATTGGAGGGAAATTTAGAAAAAGTTTAAAAGCGCACATTTGCCGCCCACATCCTCATCTACATGTTAGCATTTAAAAGGAAAGCTTTTATTATCCTTTCATCGTGCTTAAAATTCACACAGACATAGAATAACACACACACTCATACACTAGCGTATACTGATGAATAGTGAACGTACTAGTAGGTTGTTTTATTCATTCGTATTCATGGTTTTAAAATAGATTTATGTGAAATCTTTTTATCGTGGCTTCGCCATCGCCGTCATTGTCACCCGTTTTATGTTGTAAATGTTTATTCAAGTATCATTATTTGTGTTTTATGCGTGTTGTCCTATAGTCCTTTTTTCGTTCGTTTATTTTAGATTCTTTTTAATCTTTCAATATGGCCATCTAAGGCTGGTTATTATTGTTGTTAGTTTCTTTAGTTCCTAATATATTAGTGGGTTGAAATGAATAAGGTAAAGTTGTCAAAGAAAGGAAAAATATATATCAAGGAAGACACGATTATGAAAATCTTTCTAACTGACAAATATCAAAATTTTCTATATAGGAAACTTTTCTTATATAAGGATTGTTTTTGATGTCTGATATCGGTAAGCTTTTGATGTCTGACATCAAATTTTTATCAAAGCTTTTGATGTCTGACATCAAAATTTTGTCTATGTAGATAAGCTTTTAATGTCTGATCTCCAAATTTTTCTATATAGAAAAACTTTTGACTTTGATATTTGACATTTAATATCAATAGAAAACATTTTAAAGTCGGACATAAATATTGAAACTGTTTTCCTTACTATTCAAATCATTTGGAGTGTAAAGAGTTTTCATCAAAAATCAAACCTACATAATGCCAATACAATTTATATCCATACGCAAAACAGCTTGACATACAAAAGTTTGTATTGCCGATATAGAAACGCATTGTAGGGCCAAACAGATATTTTCCCAAACATGTTTTCTAAAGTCGTACCAATATACAAATTACAAAATTTAGCGTATGATTCCAGCTAGCAGTACAGAAATCTGTGTCGAGATTACCGTTACGTATTTAGGAATCGTAATAAAGTCCTTACTGTAATGTATGATGAAAATCAGATCATTTGACCCATTTACCTTCATATGAGGTCCTCTTTTTATAATGATTTTAATGTTCATGCCGCCATAGGCCATTTAAATTGAAATTTATAGAATATCATCATTTTTTGCGTGGGCGTGGCGCATGAAGTAGTTAGTTAGCTAGTTAGTTAGTTAGTTAGTTAGTTAGTTAGTTAGTTAGTTAGTTAGTTAGTAGTTAGTTAGTAGTTAGTTAGTAGTTAGTTAGTTAGTTAGTTAGTTAGTTAGTTAGTTAGTTAGTTAGTAGTTAGTTAGTTAGTTAGTTAGTTAGTTAGTTAGTTAGTTAGTTAGTTAGTTAGTTAGTAGTTAGTTAGTTAGTTAGTTAGTTAGTAGTTAGTAGTTAGTTAGTTAGTTAGTAGTTAGTTAGTTAGTTAGTTAGTTAGTAGTTAGTTAGTTAGTTAGTTAGTTAGTTAGTTAGTTAGTTAGTTAGTTAGTAGTTAGTTAGTTAGTTAGTAGTTAGTTAGTTAGTT